GCGGCGCTCCAGGTCCGGCTGTGGCGCGGCGTCTGCTTTGCCTTCCGCGCTACGCGTTCCCTGCTCCGCGCCCACTCGTGCTTCTTGTACAGCTCCAGCAGACAACCCGAACGTTTACATAGAGCGAACAAGTTTGGGCCCGCGGCTCCCGACTGAAAGCCGGGAAACCTGTCTGCTAACCCAGCCTCGTCTACAAAGCTCCGAAGCAATTCTCCTGTCCTAGCCCTAGTCTGCCTGAAGTCTTCTCCGCATTCCAGGCATGCGCTACATCGGCGGCTGCTGCTGCTCTGCATGATTTGTAGGCAGAGAGACCTGTCGAAATTTGGAAGATACACAATCAAGGGCGCGGCCACGTGCGCCATGGATGTTTGGCAAGCTATCCACTACATGATCATCCCATGAACCATGGTCAGCAAGCTGCAAAGCTGTGAGGCACTCAACGTCTGCTGCGTATCAGCGACCGTACCTGTCCTGTTTTCGAGGTTCCGCCGCGTTTTGTAGACAACCCTCGGCAAGGATGATTACGCATCCTGTAGTGCTGATCCGAATTTTTACCAGGGTGTCTTCGATACCTAACCCACCAAGAAGTACAGCCTCCGAGTATCCCGCGATTTGATCAACTCTACGAGGTAGTAACTTGGAGCCGAAGGTGCCCTTCCCAACGCGGCGCAACTAAGTTGAACAATGTCACTCAACACGTTTCCGCAGCTCTTTTCTCTCATTCAAGGGATGAAATGGAACAATGAACCACTCACGGGTGTAGGATGCAATGTTTCTGGGGTTCCTGCAAAGTTTCGTGTCGGTCTCTGCTCTGAGCGTGAAGAACGGTGTGGTTGAGTGAGCCCAGTTGTGCCGGCCGTCGCCGCGGGGCTCCGGCCGGTGGCGTCAACAACGAGGGTACCCTATATTGATTTTTGGCCGGACTTTTCTGCGTTTTGGGCCCCCAGCAACGCCCGTGCTCGAGGTTTCGCACAAACGATCTTCTGTGGGTCTGGTGTGTGTTGTGTATTGTGTATGTGGCTGCTGTCTGGGTCTGTCTGTGTACAACTTCCCGCTTCGCGGACCTGACGTCACGCGGGGGCATTTTACAGAATCTCACAGAACTATTCTGTATTGTGACTGACCGTCACAGAACTATTCTGTATTGTGCGAGGGTGCTACAGAACCTCACTGAACTATTCTGTATTGTGCGAGAGTGCCATAGAACCTCACAGAACTATTCTGTATTGTACGAGAGTGCTACAGAACCTCACAGAACTATTCTGTATTGTGCGAGGGTGCTACAGAACCTCACTGAACTATTCTGTATTGTGCGAGAGTGCCATAGAACCTCACAGAACTATTCTGTATTGTACGAGAGTGCTACAGAACCTCACAGAACTATTCTGTATTGTGCGAGGGTGGGGCTACAGAACTATTCTGTAGGGTACCGGCGGTGTCACAGAAGTCACAGAACTATTCTGTAGGGTGTCGGGGTGTCACAGAACTCACAGAACTATTCTGTATTGTACGAGGGTGCTACAGAACCCACATAACTATTCTGTAGGGTAATTACAGAGGGTAATTACCCCCGGTACAGGTCTGTGAGTACCCTACAGAGCACACCCGTTTGAAGCCCTGGGGAGAATCTGGATTTCATGTTATTATGGACGATTAGGTTGACCTCTTTTTTTTTCTCCCATCATTGGACTCTATCGTTTGCCCCTCTGGCCCCTATCCTCCACGTCTACCAGCTAATAGACGACCCAACCGGGGTCACGTAGGAGGGGGGGGCTGGACCCCTCCTGCGGTTCCTGCCTGAGGTATTTTTATCGCGAGAAGGGTACAGCAATCCCTTCCCTCGCGCCTTACGAAGTCGATTATGGTTTACTAACAACGAGCTTTGCAACGCATCGCTTTCATCCTAGACCAGAATATATTTAGTGAGAAAAAAACTAACTCTGCCGGGACTCGAACCCATGACCTGGCCCTTAGCAGGCTGCGAGGTTACCCACTAGACCACCGGGGCGACCGGTGTGTACATGACCCTCGGTGATCGCGCCGCACCCAGGCAAGATTGTTACGCCGCCTCAAGGTTTGTCGGAAGGCTCGTTTCGACAGATCTTGGGTCAAGATGTGTTCGAAACGGCAGATTTCGGGCCTCGAGAAATCTTGGCCAAGACATACCGGAAGATTTCGCTCCCATTAGTCTAATCGTGAAACTCGCAGACCTTGGCCAAGATCAAGATTTGTCGACAAAATTTCATTCTAACGATCGGGGTCTCATCACAACTCTGTGTCTACGCTGCTGGTCGTGCTCCTCGACGATGTGATGTGTGATACGCTCGCCGCCAGGTACATGCCGCATACGTGCCTCTTCCACATGCCCTGATGTGCGGGTTTGCGTCCGCGCAGCGGGAAGACTTCACATTTTGTTTCTTCGTCGGTGTGTGTTCATTATTAGCATCGAGCGCGCCAACCGGCTCACCAATGAAAATACGTCAGGCCAGCGGGTAACAATCATCGTCCCTGGAAGGGGGCCGAAATTCGAAAAATGCGCAATGCGCTGAATGCGAATGCCAATACGACCTCTCGACATTCTTAGTCACGTAGACACACATCTCAGCTTCACACATGCCCTCGCCTGGACCTAGGGAGCCAATGATGCAATGAGCGGAGGACAGCAAGAGGTTTATTTCAAGCCCAGCCGAAGCCAGGATATCGTGTGGTATGCTGCATCTCCAAATTTGATAATGGCACTCCCAAGATCCAACAGTCAACGTATCAGCAGCTAGATGACTCAAACCAAACTGCAACACCTACACTGCCATTGCTCCACACATGCCCTCGTCCGAACCTAGGAAGCCACTGGTGCAAAGAAGAGCGGAGGACAGCAAACGGGTTGTGTGCATGTTGTTGTTGTTGTTGTTGTTTCTCACATTATAGCTCTAAAAAACAAAATTGGGAGCCCGTGGTCTCAACCGGCATACACGACCCCACGAAGAAACAGAAAAAAATAGGGTACAAAAAGCATGTGCATCCAACTGAAAACAAACCGCCGTAAAGTGCAACATTTTTTACGGGGCCGCACATAGATTATAACCAACCATCGTCGCGCCCGTCGCACCCCTGCAGCCTGTCCCGCTGGTGCTCGCATAGCTGCACCACAAACGACTCACGCTGCTGCGAGTCGGGATTCGTTCACCATCAGCATCGCAGTTTAGACTACTGCAAGGTTATGAGTCGCTACCCAGCGGCTCGTTACCCCGCCCTATCTACTACGCACTCCTCGATTGTGGTGGGAGAAATGTAGACTACATGTGTACAGCAGTAGTGCCAATCCATCCGAAGGCGGGGTACAACAAATCGCGAGACAACCGTCACATGGTGGTGCGCAATTTGCCTGTTGTGTTGCTACGCTACGGCTGACGATGACGCGTTTTCGCCAGCCAGCCGGCACAATAACCACACGCCCTGTCCGCCAAACGTGCCGCGGGCACCCTCTGGGTGGAGACTGGCTGTACAGGTTGCTCGTTCGCGTGTTCCCTCTCAAGTCTAAATTAAAAAACACACGTCCGCCAACTGCGGACACGCAGCAGCGGATACATATACAGCAGCAACAGCAGAATGCATAGCACTGCTGTCATTATGTAGTTCCACACCACGGGAGTACATGAAAATCGCCTGTATCGCCCAGGAGCTACATGTACATGTCTACATGTACATCAATTCGTTGCCAGGACGGTTAGAAGTGCTCAAGTTTTTCGCGGCCAGCAATGAATGCAGGCGAATAAGTAGCAACCGTCTTGTCCATCCATGTGATTCGGAATGAGAGCTCGGTTGTGACGTCGTGACGATGAGCATTCGTTCTACAGCAACAATCACTGTAGTAGAAGCAACAATCAATTTCCACGAATTCTACACTGCTGTAGGTCGGCTGTGCACAACAACAACTCGACAAACAAAATGAACTGCAGCTGCTTCTACTTGGTTGGGTATTTCAAGGTTGGACCAAGCTTACACGACATTTCCCGCGGGTGTCCACCTCTCGAACACACAGACGGACAGCCGTTCCCTGAGAATATGTATGTGGTGAGTTCGTTGTAGGTAGACACCGAACGTACGCCATGGCCCATGTGCTGTAGTAGTCTATGCCTGTGAAGTCTACGCACGTTCTGTATTGTTTAGTCAAGTTCATAAAATGCTTGCAAAATTGGCGCCACGTGCGCGTTCCTCGCATGCTCTGCATGCTGGCGCATGGACGGAGAGCTCTATGCTAGTGTGAGATCTCAGAGGGCAGCTGGTGAGTCTCATTCCGTTACATGTGGTAAATGATGGATTGTCTTCGGGCAAACTCTACGGGCGACGCCGAACAATGGTGAATGTACTCGTTCGCACAGGTTGTTCCAGAATAGGAATGGGCAACAATGGGCAACCACCACCAGTTTAAACAAGCGTCTATATCGCAACAGAAGCCCACCTTGCTTGCTGTACCTTGCTTGCTTGATTGACCGAGGCAGACGGGGATTCCTTGCGATGTGACCACCGGCGGGCCGAGAGACCAAGAGACCAACTCAGCCGCAGGCAAAGGCAGGTGAAAATACAACACGTTGATGGTTGAGCAGACGGTCAGGGGCGGGTTCCCGAGCTTCAGACGAACTGCCCCCGGGCACGATTTTTTTCTTCGAAAAATCGACTTCGCAGATTGTTCTGAAACGACCAAATGCGTCGGGGGAAAAAAAAAGTTGCCCTTCGGCTCGAACTTTTTTTTTCGCCGCATTCCCGGACTTTTTTTTTCCCGCCGACCTCGGCAATCGCTTCCGCGCTTCCGCTCTGTCGATTTAGGGGGGTTAGAGCCACTCAGAAAGTTGGTCACAAGCAAAAAATGGTGTCCGCACGGGGTCTGGAAGCATGAGGCGTGGCAACGGCCCAGCGATTACCGGCCCGGGCGAATGTGAACGCGTTATGAATGCTGGTGAGCGGCAGTTCAAAGTTGTGCAGAGCTGGAGACTGAAGAAGGGACGCGGCGTTGACTTCACTACCAAGCTCTTCGACCCCAAGGCTGGCAAGCGCGCAGCTGCTAGAAATAGCGACACCTCGGAGGCTTGTGAAGCAGATTTGTCCAAGGTGGCCCGCGAAAAAGCTGACGAGATCATGAAGGGCAAGCGAGAGGCAGCTCGGAGAGCGGGCGTACCACAAGCCCGCGGGCGCGGTGGTGGGGCAGACAGTCACATGTCTTGCCCCGTCATCAGGGCGGCGGCGAGGCAGCTTTCTCCAAATTTTTCGAGTGGCCGGACTACATCAACTTCAACAGGATCTGGAAATTGGAGAAGGGCGAGGACATCAAGGACCCTGGCCGCACTTTGTTCCTCTCGACACGGTGTAAGTGTCTGACCACCCTGAAAACAGACCAGTGCGCGTGCAAGATCCACATGCAGCAAGACCTGAATCTGAAGGCGCTGCGCGAAGTGGACGTGCAGGGTCGTGCAGCATACGACTGTCGGTGGTGCAGCGCCCTGGACGGACAAGCGGCGTGGAAGGGGATGTGGAAACACCTGGGGACGTTTTCGGAAGCGCTGGCATGCCCAAAGGTGGACCTACTAGAGGAGGACCCGGAGGATGAGGTTGGCTTCATGGGACGGAAGCCGGCCTGCAGTGCTATGGAGTGCACGCTCTGTGGGTTTGGGAAGGAAGGGGGCATCCAGACCTGCAAGGCGCTGGAAACGTCGTAACAGGTTTTCAAATGGACCCGGTATGAAGACGTTGAGGGGCCCGGGAAGAAGCCCCTGCAAAACCAACAAGTCGAGAAAGAGGGCAAGCTCTGCGACCTGTGGGCAGACTTCAAGAAGCACAGTAAGCTGTACATCGCTCATCATGCAAAGGCCAAGTGGCAGACAAACTCTCATGTACTCTGCTTGAGCACGTTTCAAGACGGCGATATCGTGATCGAGACAGATTTTATCGAGAAATATTCGCACGTTCCTGGGGCCGTCCTCACCTGCGCGCGGCATCCCCAAACCACGCTCATGGTGGCTATTGTACACTTCAGTCCGCAGCTGTGGGAGGGCGGCGGAAGGGTTCACCAGACCGAGACATGGATTTTTGCTTCGGAGGACCCTGCACACGACTTCGACTTTCACCGCCACGCGCTAACTCAGATTGCCGACTACTTCTTGGATGGGCCCGGAAGGNACGCTCATGGTGGCTATTGTACACTTCAGTCCGCAGCTGTGGGAGGGCGGTGGAAGGTTCACCAGACCGAGACATGAATTTTTGCTTCGGAGGACCCTGCACACGACTTCGACTTTCACCGCCACGCGCTAACTCAGATTGCCGACTACTTCTTGGATGGGCCCGGAAGTGATGCAACTGCCGCCGCTCGGGAAGCCCAACGGATCCCCCGCATGCACATGTTCACGGACGGGTGTGCCAAGCAGTACAAGGGGAGGCGCAACTACCGTTTTCTGGCTGACAGTGTGCGGCAGCTTGACTTTATCGTCGAACACCATTTTGCGGCCACCTCTCACTTCAAAGGCTGCCACGACGGGATCGGCGGGGTGGCGAAGAACGCATGAGGATGTCCGAGCAACGTGGCGATCTCATCGCAGGGGCGGCTGGTGTGGTGAAGTTCTTGAAAGAGTACTTTGACCATATCGGGGCTGGGAACAAGGAGCTTNCATTTTGCGGCCACCTCTCACTTCAAAGGCTGCCACGACGGGATCGGCGGGGTGGCGAAGAACGCATGAGGATGTCCGAGCAACGTGGCGATCTCATCGCAGGGGCGGCTGGTGTGGTGAAGTTCTTGAAAGAGTACTTTGACCATATCGGGGCTGGGAACAAGGAGCTTGCGGACTACTTCGCCACGTGGTCGCCGTATCGCATCCGGCGTGTGCATGTGAAGCTCATCGGGCTGGGCGCTGTCTACAGGCCGGAGCAGCAGCTCAAAGGCATCACAGGTACTCGAGACGCCTACCTCTTTGTAGGGGCCAACGTGGGGCTTACGGACCGCGCGACCACGACTAGACGGGGGAGAGACGAAAGTGTTCCGGACGTGGTGGAGAAAGATTGGTCACTGGCGATGGGAAGGGACGTGGGGGAGGGGGAGGGGACGGAGCTCACAGTGAAAAGGGCAAAGTCGTATGTGCCGTGGCGCCCGGCGTGGGAAAGGGGCGGGGCTACGGGAGAGGAGAGCCAGCATGAAGGTGAGGGGGAGAGGGAGGAAGAGGAGGAAGTAGAGTCGGAGAGGGAGGAAACTGAGCCGGGGTGCGAGAGGGTTCGCGCCGAGAAGGTCATCCTCGCCCACGAGCTTTACACCTCGGCCGCGTCTTGCTTTTGCTCAGCGTGCCGACGGCGCGAGTACAACATGTGCTTTACGAATAGCATGTATCCGGGGCAAGTCCCCGTGCTTAAAGCAGACGAAGTTGAGGAGACGGTCATTAGGGTCACTGGGGTAGATCCTGTGGTTGGAGTTGACCCCGTCCCTGGTAGCAAGAGAGAATCGAAAGCAATCATGTTCGGCAAGGAGGATTGCTGTATGGTAAAGAGGGTGCCTGGTACGCAGCTCAACGATTATTTCTGCAACAGCACATAGAAGAAGGTTATCGGGGTACTGAGGGCGTGCTGGGAAGGTTTTGGTTGTTTTTCGGGGGGGGGGGGTACGCGGTCCTGCCGCGTAGCAGTAAGTTTCGGTGGCATTTCGTCTGGACATACATCCTGGGCAATTACACGACACGAGTGTGAGGCTCTATAACTTTTTATCTGGGGCGAGCTCGAAAATTTGGACGACGGATTCGTAATCCCCACCCCAAAATTTCCCTGACCTGAAATTTTCAGGTCGATCTGAGCACTTTTCAAACCCGGGGACATTTAGCGGCCATCCCCGCTTTTTGCGTTTTTGCAAATTCGCCGTTGGAAATCGATAAAACTCGTTGAAACCCAGGCACCGCGGACTTTTTGTTTTTTTGCAGATCGTCATTATTAGGGCATACAATGACACTATTAAATTTTCAATACTTTTTGCGGGGATGGAAAGAAGTTGTCCCCCCCCCAAAAAAAAAAATCGTCTTTAGCTCGGAACCCGCCCAGGGGAGCCCCCTTTGCACACCTTCGGGACCCCACGTTTATTCGCCAACCGTGGGCACGGTGGTTCCACAAGCTTCTCCACACGAAGTCGCCGACCATCGACCTGCATGCGGCTGACAAGGTCAAGCGGTGGCCCACGTGCGTGCCACTCGACGGCCTCCCATCTCTACTTGAGGTTGAGGAAGCGGTACGGGAAATGGCCAACAGAAAGGCCGTCGGGCCGGACGACCTACCGGCTGAGCTGATCAAGCTTTTCCTGGACGGAGATCAAGGTCTCCTCCGCGAATTCCACGTGTTATGGTATTTGGAGGTAGACATGTGATCGTGGTTGACCATGGTTATTTGGCGCCGTCGGATGTTAAGACGTGACGTCATGCTAGATAAGGGCTTTATGCCGAGTCATGTGCCCTTCTGTTCAGTATGTGCGTACAATCTCTGATCGTGTGTGCGTGGGATATTGTAAGTAGGCTTGGAAAGCGTTGATCAAGAGAAAGAGAACAACGGAAAGCGACGACAACCTGCTACTGTGGTCGGACATGTGAGTTCCACACAGCTCAAGGTGATTGATTCTGAAGGAAGGTGTTAAGTACCATTACACTGAAACAACATATTCGCCTGATTGAGAGCGTAGCATCTGATTGAGAGCGAGATTGCGCGATACGCTGTAGCCGGACTACCACTGAGAGGTGGAGCTTGCTGTGTAGCTTGAATTGAAGGGCTAGCCCGTAGCTTCAAGCCGCTACCCTGGTCATCCTGTGGGAGTCTCTCGTTGTGGAGCTACAGCGGGGAGCAGAAGCTACAGCAGAGCCCACCGCCCGACGCGATACCGCCCTGAAACAGTTTGAGCAGAAATAGCCAATCTGGGCAAATCTAGCAACTTGTCTAGCTCCTCGCTGCAGCATCCGATGACGATGACACGCATATGCTCGCGAAGCTGCTGATGAGACCTTCAATTTGCACCGCTTCTTGGAATAGCCCGTCCCCTACTTGCCAAGAAATGGCAAGAGGCGTCTGGACCCGAAATTTCAATTTTTTTGGCTCTCGCTCTCAAACAGATACTTCGCTCTCAATCAGGCGAATATGTTGTTAACTGGCGTGGTTGGTTTAGGTCGTGTTGCTTGATTCTTGCGTTCAATTGATTTGATTTTTTCGCTTTTTGCAGTCTGCTGAGTAGCGGCAAGGTTACCGCCTTGGCCCTGCTTCGGCATGTCGGCTCCCGATGAGCCGCGAGGTAGCAGTGACTCTGCTGTCTCAATCCCGATACCCTTGTCGTCGCACCAATTCCAGCTCCGTTATGCAGGGCTAACGGGTACTTAATTGTCAGACGACCACAAAATGATTCAAGTCAACTTGGTGCGATCAAACAGTACACCGGCTCTCACCGGTCAATACTTTGTCGACATGTTGCCTGATGTTTCGTCGAACGAAGAAATCTTTGTCTCCGACGGACGTCAATTTGTGCTNTGAGTAGCGGCAAGGTTACCGCCTTGGCCCTGCTTCGGCATGTCGGCTCCCGATGAGCCGCGAGGTAGCAGTGACTCTGCTGTCTCAATCCCGATACCCTTGTCGTCGCACCAATTCCAGCTCCGTTATGCAGGGCTAACGGGTACTTAATTGTCAGACGACCACAAAATGATTCAAGTCAACTTGGTGCGATCAAACAGTACACCGGCTCTCACCGGTCAATACTTTGTCGACATGTTGCCTGATGTTTCGTCGAACGAAGAAATCTTTGTCTCCGACGGACGTCAATTTGTGCTGCTCACGGGTGCCGCAGAACTTGAGCCAGGAGACTTGCTCGGTACTGCTGCCGCCCCGCTGATGCGCGTCCCGGTGAAGCATTTAGAACAGCTTAGCGACGACGCTGATACTTCATGTTCGGTGCCTGGACCTATTTTGGGTTCTACCGAGGATAACGCGGACAAGACCGTCGATCCGCAGGTGCGCTGCCATGATCCCTTCGTGCAACACCTACGATCCACCGATCCTCCTGTGCCGGACCCAGGGGAATCATCCCCTGCGGCCCCTGGCCCCGCTCACACTTCGCCCTCGCCGCCACCACAACATGTGATGGAGCGGTTGAGCGCTGATCGGAGAGTTAGATTTGAGTCATTGTGGAATCGCTTGCCGCCTCACCTGAAGTTGGTTAAGTTTGATCTACACGGTCCTGGTTGGTCACCAGCGGTCATCACAGAACTGGGTGATCTCTTACATGACTTCCAAGACGTGTTTTCGACATCATCGACGGATTTGGGGTCCTGTTCCTTGATGCCGTTTGAGATAAAAGTACCTCCGGATCGTCCCCCTGTGACGTCCAAACCGTACCGTATGAATCGCTTGGTCGCGAAGCAAGTCGATGCCATTTTGGACCAGTACCTAGCTGCTGGCCTAATTCAGCACTAGACCTATCCTTCTTCCAGCCCCATTGTGGTTATCCCAAAGAAGTCTGGTGGAATACGTATCTCGGTTAACTACAGAAAGTTGAACCATATCAGCAACCTTGGTCAACTTCCCTTCCCCGAGTCGAAGAGATTCTAACGAAACTCAACAGAGGTTCGATTTTCTCGCCATTCGATTTTACGGGTTCCTTCCACCAGATCACCGTCCACAAGGACACTGGCCCCCTTACGGCGATTGCGACCCCCACTCGTTTGTTCGAATGGCTCCGCATGCCGATGGGTTCTAGTCAATCCGCAGGCCACTTTGTAGAAGTGATTAGCGAAGTGATCAAAGGACTTGATGGAGTCAAGGCGTACCTCGATGACGTCGTTGTTTTTGACGAAGGCCCGCTGCAGCATGTCCTTAATATGCGCACGCTCTTCGAAGGGTTGAGAAAGTACGACCTCAAACTTTCTACCTCGGAAGCTACCATCGGTACCACCAAGGCTGACTTCTTGGGGCACACCATGTCTTCGAAAGGTGTCTTCCCCAACGCCCGTAATGTCACCGTCCTGGCAGGTATGCCCATGCCTTCGATCGTAAAGCAACTCATGGGTGGTNCTTCAACCAAGGGTACATCAAGCTTTTCTGGCCGGGCGTATGCTCTCTTGCGGATATCTTCGCTTTCCGTTTGGACCCAGGCAGGACCCTCCGGCCGTTGCACCCACTTTTACCGCGTCTTCTGTCCCTGGCTCTGCTGTCCCTGGCTCTGCTGTTGCCCCAACCGCCGTGGCCCCCGCCATTGCTGTTCCTACTCGTGATCGGGAATACCCCGGTTCTCTCGCTTTTCTTTCAGAAGCAGAAATGTCGGAGAAGTCGGAGGAACTGATGGA